CTTTTTTGTAGGAGGTCCTGGATTTGATTCACACCGGGAACTTGCACCACTTAGTTTTTCGAAACATTTGCACCTAATTCATTCATCATTAATTTCATAAACAATGAGTGAAAATCGAGATGACATTTGTACGTAATCGGATAATGTATGCAGAATATGTATGAACGCCCCAGCCGCAGGGATAATTTTGATGAAGCTACCTTCAGGAAAACATTATTAGAAGTGAGCTCCTTGTGATAAAGTTCGTCCAGAGAAGTACTGTCACCTTATATATTTCTGCCGCCAAGCAGTAATGTGAGCATTACTGCGTTTCGGTTTAGAAGGGTAAAGGGTGCTGGTGAAATTACGGGCACATGGAACTTGTCAACGTATGTCTCAGGGTGGTACAGGCAGTGGCAGATCTTTACGGTTTTAAGCTCTGAGCAAGTACTATGACTGTTATGGGTAGGCGAGTTACTTATCATAATTCATTTCAGGGTAAAAAAGTTGCATTATTTTATTAAATGTTATTAAAAAATAAGAAATCCGTTAAAGAAAGTTATTTTTAAAACTTATTTTAGTAGCAGCAGCTCCTTGTGAAAGAGTTCGTCCAGGGAAGCTGCCACCTTACCTTATTCTGTCGCCAAGCAGTAGTGGGACTATTACTGTTTTCCGGTTTTAAAGAGTGAGGGTGCAGGTGAAAAGCACACGGGACTAGTCAACTTATGTCTCAAGGTGACGGGCGCAGTGGCAGTGCCCCTTAAATCTTTGAGATTTTAGTTCTAAATGACATTGCAACTGTTATGGACAGAAATGTTACTTTCCACCATGCCCACGACTTGTTCATCCCTTCACATGGTATCATGAAAAAAGCTGTAGAGCAAACTACGCGTCTGTGCATTGAGTGAGCACCCTCTGAAGAATGTTTATATAATATTAGTCATTTAGTAGAAGTTCTAAAATAATTGTAGAAAATGTGTAGAAACCAATCTTTCTATTTGTAAGAAAATAAAACAAACGATAAATAACTTAATGTGTGCTCAGTCAGTTCTCACAGAGGGCTAGACATATCTAGAGCAGTATGAATGGCATGAGCAAACTTATTTTACTTTTATTTCTGTGTAGTAACTGTCGCGTGAGATTTGAATGTCTGTTGTGTTATTGTATATTAGCGCCTTGTGCTATAATTATAGCTAGTTGGCTATACAAGAAGTAGTAAGAGAGAGCTTTAACCCATCACAAACAATCCTACCTAACAACCATAAAACTATGCATGTACATAGTACAGGAAGCCTGTCACCGTGCGATCTAAGGTACACAGACAACAAGAATAACAAAACAGACGGATAGGGGAAGCATAATGGGTGTGCACGTTGTGAGCGTGTACAGGACTGCTGCTCGGCGCTAGTTTCACGTTGCATTAGTCCTGAAACTGTAATACCGCGTAAATATATTTACAATAAAAAAAAACGTTATTCATACAGTGAAAGTGAAAATAATATTATTAGTATATTTAGGTACTGAATACTACTCCAAACAGCATTGTCTCCAATTATTTGTCCTTGCTACCTACAACGTGTTTTTTTAGTAATTAGTAAAGATCCGTTACTGTTCAATTAAAATTGGTTTGTCTTATTATAAGATGCTAGACATCTATCGAAATAATTGTTTTCGCCACTAATATAGAAGTTATTGTTTTTACAAAACAATTTTCTTTTTTCCATACTATTGATTTTTAGTGAAAATTATCATGTTTTACTACCATGATATTCATTTATTTTTGTAAAATTACTTCACCAGTTTGTTATAATTATTAGTAACAAAGAAAAATGCCTTCGGTCTGACAGGACTCGAATCTTTGTCTGTTTTACCAATCTAGGGCAATTGTTATCGTATTGTATCACTTGCCAAGTTATGTCTTAGTTCTTAGTCAATAGTAAAAACTTACATTATATTATTATCAAATGGTAAATAACCATATTATATGCCTACTACTAAATATTCTTAAATAAACTTCTACTTATACAGACTGCATACTAAATATAAAGACTAAATTGCAAACTAAGACCGTGCCAGCAGATACTTCCACAATCCAGTCTTAAAAATAGGAAGTGACTTAGTATATCGGATCTCAGAAGAGAGTTCATTCCATAATTGTGCAGTCTTAACCGTAAAGAAGTTTTTAAAATACTATGAGCGGGTGAAAGTTAAGGGAGGTTTCAGCAGGTTATAAATTTGTGTCCTTAATTCACGGATGTGATCTGCAACGAGGAAGAGAAAACGTTCCTTAAGGTAAAGAGAAGCGCGGAGGTCATAAATCACGTTGTAGAGAAATCTGCAAACGTGCTCATCAGGACGCAGCTTGATGGGGAGCCACTGGAGCCTCCTCCTTTGTTCCAAGACACATTATAGAACTTGCGCTATCCGTATATTTATTATTTAACTGCCTCAGTGGCCGAACGGTTACCATACCGGACTGCCACGCAGAGGTCCCCGGGTTAGATTCCCGGGCCGGGAGAAATATTTGTATGGCCTACATTTATTTCTCTCGTGAGTTTGGGTGTAATTTGTGGTTGTCTATGTGTGTGTCCATGGCACCCGCGACACAGGGTTTCCCTAGTGCGGGGCTATGTTGAGTGTGTGCGTTATTATATTATTATTATTATTATTATATAAACCTGATGCAAAGATTATATAAGCGCTGGAGTTTGCTTAATAGGTCCCATTAAGGTCAATAATACAAATATCGGCATAATCCAGAATGGGTAAGAGTAGCCTTTGCTCAAGTTCTACCTTGACCCTCACAGAAAGCAAATTTTTCAACCTTCGTAATGAATCTGAGGTAGCAAATACCTGTCTACTGACCTTGGTGACCAAGACAGAGTGGAATCATAATAAAATACAATGTCAAGGTTTTCGACACCACTGCTGAAACTCAAAAGGAAGGAGTCTAATAGGAGCAAGGGAATTGTTCTGTTACTAAGTTTGGCAATCTGCTTTGAGCCACCAATGACGATGGCCTACGACTTATTAGCGTTGACCGTAAGACTATGAGTTCGACTCCAAACGTGTACTGTCGCGAGGTCGTTATTAAGTTTGGCGATTATACTGTTTACGTAAGAAACGGAAGCTTGAAAATAAATCTGTAGGTCATCAGCATACAGATACTACTAAGAAACTAAAGGAGTTGATAAAGATTGAAAAAAGAAGAGGAGAGAGGACACCGCCCTGAGGCACACCAGTGGTAACGTCATAGAAGCTAGAGTGCTTATTATCGGCACGAATACACTGCCGTCACTCAACGAGATAGTGGCAAAACCACTTCACCGCCATATCCGACACAAAGACAGATTTCAAACAGAAAGACAGAGAAGTACAGTATTGAACGCGTTGCTGAAACCTAAAAGAACTAACACCGTCACATGCTGATTCGATATATGTTCGGGAATGTCATTAAATACCTTGGTCAACGCAGTAATAGTGCCTATGCCTAGGGCCGAAATCAGACTGGAGGGGACTAGGGATATTGTTACATGGAAGTGGTACCTTGTGGTTTCTTGGTACAAATAGAACAAACCTATACGGAGAATTTCATTAAAGTCATTAATTCATTCTCATCATCAATTAATTCTTAAGCATTACGAAAACGAATAGTTTTTTGGAGGGTCAAACTCAGACATGAATTTATTTCATCATAGTGCATAATTATCATGAATCAAGATTTTACTACCTACAGTAAAAGCGAGGTATTAAAAGCATTCATACTCATAACGTTTGTTAATATTTAACATTACCTTTAACCTTTTAATTCACTCGTACATTAACAGATTCAATCCTGCATTACTTAACCAATAGTGACACGAAATCATATTTCACGCCGAGAAGGCCATTATTGTAAGTTAAAACGGCGGGCAACTATCAAAGAGAAAGCCAGCCAGGTCTCACATCATTCTCTATGCCTACTCTTACTGAACCATAGACAAACCTTTAATGTATGTTGCTGATGAATGTAGACTAGACTTTGAATGTAAATGTGGTATTTTCTTTGAAACATGCCTTATATATTTACTTGTTTTAAAGGTGGACGCACAGTTGTCGTCGATTTATGATTTTTTTGTATGGTTCGTGATTATATGTATGTATGGGACTCATTATTGATTTTATTATTCAGACACAAAACATGTTATCAGCAGCTGTAGCTTGAAATTATCATGACGGACGTCCAGTGCAAGACACAGGACGTGAACTTGAATTAGTCAAGATAAATTAAATAGTTCGCTATGCCTTTGTTACACCGCTATTCCCGAGTATGTTTTTCGCCTATTATAATCTCTTTAATACTGAATTGAACTAAATAAAACACAAATGAAGTTGTATATTTTAATCACATTTTTGTAATCAATAACACCTTTATATTTGATTGTTATTAAATAAGTAGTACAACATTTTATAATGAAGTTTGATGTATACAATATTATAAAGAACATTACACCCAACATATTAAACTTCTTGAAAAGTGCAATAAAATAAGACTTGTAGGATACCCAAATAGTGAAGACAATACGTCCTACTGCGAAAGTTGTCTAGGATCTAGTTATAAAAAAATCGTGCCATATTTCTGTTCGATCCCCGCTCTATAATCATAGAATTAGTTTGACTCTATTGAAGTCATTTATCTCGGGGACTAATATTTTTTAGACATTGATATATGTCCAATTAATTCACAAGAAATTTTGGATACTATATACTAGATAAGATTTTAGTAAGGTACACCGAACATTTATTTTTATTAAAATTTTATAAATTATTGTTCTCAATTTTATAAATTTCTAACTAAGGATAAAGCTACCGGCAAAATATCGACTTAAATAGTAAAATGAATTTAATTCCTAAATTTCACTTCCGAATCTCACTTCCATTATCACACCCATTAATTTCTGTTATTATAAAAAGAATAATTAGTATTGTCAATGGCACCATATTCAGTAACTTATCTGTACTTACAATTTTTATAAAATTTTCTATAAAATTCTTTAGCACAACTTGAGATGGAAACAGCATTCAGTGTTGATAGTATCGATACTTTTCTCAAAATTGAACATTTACAATAAGTTTGTTGTCATACTTCTCCATTCCTTCGTCTTTTTATAAATTATCTACTTAAATTATCACTTTTGAGTACTTCTTTCATCATTTACGATTCTTAGCGCGTTATTTCTAATCTTTTTCTCACGAATTGAATACATTTGGTTGTCTTTGGTGTCATATTAATTGATAACAATCATTTTAAAATAAATTTTGTCTGAAATGTTGTAAAATTAATATTTTTGTCTGAGTTTTAATTTTAAGTTCTGGAACATATGGTTTTATCAATTAAATACTAGTGTAGTGAAAAATACTTTGATCGTCCATAAAAAATGTAAGTACGAATAATTCCTTCTTTACCTTTTCGTTAAACACAAGAATTATTACGGCACAATTAATAATTAGCATTGTTATTTATAAATTAAAGCAGTAATTCGCATGTCAATTAACACTAAATACTAAGTAAAATATTAAAGCTCTGATAAATTGGTTTAGTAACTATACAGCAAATAATTGACTCTCATAACAAATAAACGTAACGACAAATTTAGCGTAAGATTGTAAAATATGAGCTGAGAAATAGAGTACTTGAATTGTGCGCAATTTTGCAACTATATTAATGTGACAAGATTAAAAATATTGCCTTTCTATAAAGCTGCAGAAGTTGAACAACACAATTTTAGTTTTTAATTTCATATTTAAGTTTATGAAAAGCACAAGATTGATTTGTAAATTTGTGACAACTTTACTTTTTCGTTACTCTGCGAGTTGGTTGATATACGACGAATAATAATACTAAATACTTATATAACTATTGAACCTTAGTCAATTCCACATGTTATAATGGTATACTTCTACTGTAATTTGGTGTTGCTAGCGCATATTCAAATTAACGTTGGAATAATGCAATCGAAAACTAAGAGAACGGAAACGTTAACTTACTACTTCAATAATAACTATTTTAATATTATCTTTATCTATCAGACAGATTCCACTACAATAGGAAGAGCTCGTTGATTATATACCTATCTAAGTATGAGCATATCTAAGTATGGTAATATGCCATTTTATAATACAATTTGAAAGATTTAGTAAACTTTAAAACACAATTGCCATTCGTCACAACAGCGACAAGACATTGTACGTGTTACGTTTTATTAAAGATTCACTCATATTTATTGGAGTTTGATATTATTTAAGTTAAATTTAAATAAATAAATAAATTATATTCAAGTTTGAAGTTCGAATTATCTTCCATAGCGGCACAGTGCAAATACAGTTTATTCTACACCTCACTGCCGCTGCGGTTCCAAACGGCAAGTGCGCTTTCTACCTGGTTAATATAAGGACAGAATTAGTCCAATTAGTAAACAAATTTTAGTAGTACTATGATACAGTAGAGACATTATAATAGATATTGGTTATGCACCATTAAATGACAATTAAAATCGTCAATATGAGAGTATTTATAAATAGTATTTTAAAAAGGCACGCAAACTAATAGACATAGCTGAGCTAGTCGTGTCAAGTATTCTCTCTATTTATGTATTACAATAAAAAGCAGGGAATTTTAAATTTTCTACAAATTTCCCTTTAGGTATTAGGTCTATAATTATAATAACCATATTGTATTATTTATTATTAAGAAATTTTCTTGACTTACACACAAATTTCAAAATCAAGTTTATTAATTCAAACAGTTTGACTAGTTTCCTTTCAAGCTTTTAATCTTATTAAGGCATATTTTACGAAGGTTTTAGGTAAGGATCTACTTTGTTCTATTTTACACGCGTTATGCTTTAAAGATTCTTAGTATTTATAGTTTTCTATTATATACATATAAGTGATAGATACAATTATAACTCAATATACCTATAGTAGTAGCGCGTGTAGAGGGATTAATGCAGCTATTATCTTCACATCTGAAGTGGAATCCAGCGGATGTCATGAAGAAGTTATTACATATATTTTCCTGAAAATTACGAATGAATAACTTTATAAATATATACAATAGAATTCAATTTACTTCTGAGAATCCTCTCACACACACCGCTGACCACCGTGGTAGCGCGATGATGTCATGCACTGACTTTCAATAAAACCACTGTAACTTGATACGCCGCTGTGGATTGCATGAATCAAAAAGCATAATCTGTTATTAAAAAAATTGCGTACACGAACCTATTTTCATATAAAAGCTTTTGCGCATGAGCGTCAAAACATTTCGTTGTTACTTTTAAAGATAAAGTGAACAAATTAGATATTTGATGAACTGTTTTGTTTTTGTGCTAGTTGCTCATGCACTTTGAATACTAATAAACTAATAATATATAGGAAATGAAACTATTTTTTCAAATCTTAATCGCGTATATTTGTTTTTTCAAACAAACCATGGTCCCGTGGTTATATCAGTCTGCCGTGACCATGGGATCTGTAAAGAGGTCGAAACTTTGGTTTGTTTTAACAAACAACAATATTTGCGGTTTAAATTCGACGAAATAGTTTCATTTCCCATATTTGTTACATATGTATGTATTGTCGCAAACTTGATATTAATAATAATAATATTTAATATAGTAATACATACGCTTGTACTTTTTACGTTAGTGATGATAATTAAGCCCTCAAAAAGCATTTCTTGGGCTTAGAATTATTATTTTTTTATATTACGTATAATAAGGATTTCTCACTCCTTGTGCAATAAGGCCATGTCTGCAAAATGATAACTTTTCAGTAGATGTATCAAGTTTCTACGAACGAAATTGACTTAACTTTTTATGTCCAAATAGTTCTAAAATTTCATATATACATAATTTGTGTCATGTGGTTCGCATTATTTTTATGGCTTTCGTGTAATAAAAGCACATTTGACGTATGATCATTTGTGTGGCTTAATTACCGAGGGTACGATTTATTATAACCATATCAGCATTTTAGTAGAAAAGATATTTTAGACACGTATGTGTAAACATTTTGTATGAAAACCGGACCGTGACATACCACCTTGTATATGAATTCATATTCTTCTCAAGCCGCAACACTAAAATACAATGAATAGCGCAGCAGAGTCGAACTATACTTTATCAGTTAATAATATTTTGTTATAAGGTCATCTCCAAGCGCTGCTAAAGCCGGGTCTTCACGTTACAAGCGCATACAGGTCGACTGCGCTTGTACGAGCTAGGTTGTTTAGGAGTGCATTCGGAATGTATGTAGTTGAGTTCAATGAGTTCAAGTAGTCGTACCAACAGACTCGGTCAGAGCGCGCTTGTAAAGTGAACATCCGGCTTTAGGTAAAATAACGAAATACTATTAATTGCTAAAACACAAGTATATTTCGCTCCAATTTGGAAGATAGTAAGTAGGTTTAAACAGTTCGCTGCTTTTCAAGAATAGTGGCTCAAACCAAAATTGTTCATATTAATCTTATAACACACCTGCGTTCCAGAATATGCAAATTTTTATTATAAGAAAAACACGGAGTTTTTATTGGTTAAAATATAATGTTACAACATTGGCCGGGGTATGATTAGTCGGCTTTGATATGCTGTTTTTTAAATATGCTTCATTGTTTCTAAACCATCTTCCTGATGAATTTGTTGATTTTGAGACAGACCACTATTCTAGAAAGCCATCGAGTTGTACCGCTTGCAGCGGGTGGAGTGTGCGTTTGTCCTGACTAAAGTAAGTGTGAAAATATATAAATGGGTACCAAAATATTGTGTAAGCAGTGCGTGCTATTTTTGATGTCAAATGACATTAAAAGGCCTTATAAATTGAAGAGTAATCGTATCTGTAAAGGCTTCTAAAGATAATTACTGCTCCGTGGAACGAGTTAATAAAAATGTGGTGCTTTGAATGTCAGTGTTATGATCAACTTATTTTCAATCCATACTAATGTTATGAATGGTACGTATTTTTAATGGGATGAAATTATTTTTGAGCAGCATTGGGACGATAGGTAAAATGTCATTAAATACAAGTCTAGCTTCAAGATAAGTTTATCAGCAGCAGCAGCTTTGTCCAACAAGCGAATAATCTTGTAAATAAATACAAATTTCATAATAATTCATTTCACAATATGTGAAGAGAGTTTTGAAAATGTTCTTTAGATACCATTGCAATAATATTGTATGTATATATGTAAAAGAATAGTCTGTTTAGTATAGTCATAAACAAAGTATTTCCGACATTGTGTGTACAAAAGATTCTTATTTTTTATACATGAATGGTATACGAGTATCATAGGCTACGTGAGCTGCATTCCAACTGCAAAATAGCTGTTGAAATGTATAATTACACTAAGAATTCCGCACAACTGAAAGCCGTAGCGACCGTCGAGAGTCGTATCCGTTGCTGAAAAAACTATTTTACTAGTGAATCAAATTGCACTTACCTTCAAATTAAAAACTACACTAATTTCGTACTGTAGCGTTGAGAATGCAAAGCTGAAGTAGGAAGTGTGAAACACAAAATCCGTTACTCACAATTATTAATGAATAGGTGGCAAGGTGCTATTGACTGTCACCATCGCCGATACGCCAGTCATAGTTGGTGTGCCTCGGTATCGAACTAACCAAACATTTGTTTAATGTTATCACCTGCAAAACAGCCGTAAGCAGAACAAATGCCTCTAAGCAACTAGCTACCACCATAGCCGTTTCCGAGATCAATTATTGCTCCAAAGGTGAGGTAATTTACAGGTACCACGGCAAAGTTCAGTATTAGGTAAATCCCTCTAAACACATGTTAAGTGGATTTGTCGATCAAAGTAACATGAAATTAGTCATAGCGATTGAACCTCAATTAGTTCCCTTGCTAGTGCAACTTGTGTAATTGAATTTCAGCGTGTTTGATTTCGACAGTTTGCGTCTGCGTTGTGCAAACATTTACTGACTTTAATTTAATTTCTCTTTATTGCAGATTACAACCTCGTGTGTTCATAAGTTTCGAGACAAAGTAAAAGTTATAAAAATATTTAAGATATTAAGTTATAGTTTTAAAATTGTCATGTAATATTAAGTAGACACTAACAAACAACTACCAGCAATTATTACTCACAATGACCGCCTCAGGGCCTACCGCAACCTCTTAAAACAATATTAGTTTAACCTTACATTGACTTTTCGTACCATAAGGCGCTTAAAGTAAGCTTATTGTAATGTTAAAACTATGATTTTTTTATTGGCAGCTTTGTGACTATTAATTCACTCAGTTCGTACCATGACGCGACTTTATAAGTAATATTGCTCTTATGTCAAATTTAGCAATCTTTAAATAGTTACATGGATGTAATAGAAACAATATTATTTTCAGTTTTATTATCTTAATATTGATTTGTAATGATTAAAAGTTAAGTTGAACTTATTTATTTAAATATATCTCTTCAATATTTTTGTTTATTTTTTATTTAGTAGCACATAGGAAATAATTTATCGTTAAATAAAAATACGCGATGTTCATTTCCTAAAATTATGACAGCACCATCTATATGTTCCTTGGCGAAACTAACAGTTGACACTAGACTATAGTTCCGAATTCACAACGTGACTATCAAGGCTCTGCTTGTTTGATTTATTTTTCTTCATGAAAATGCGGAATAATTGAAAACAATTGAAACCAAGGTAATTTTAATAGATTTCATGGAGATCATTCGTTCTTTCAATCGCTTTAGCAATAATACATTACTTGGTTGAAGGGCTTGTTATGGTACGAATATGAGTAATATTAAAATAAGCGTACTTTAAGGTTACATTGAAATAAGATTGTTTTTGAAAAGGTTATGGTAGGTCCCTATAAGCTCTTAAACGTTCATTTTAACAACATTTTATGTCAAGGAAAATCTACATTGATTTCTTTCCTGCCATATATTGCGAAATTACAGTCGCACAAAACTGTTTTGTTCCCTCCATCACGAGAAATATTGGACATAGTTATGATAACTAGAACCAACCCACAAAATGTCACTTTCGAGATAATTAGATTTTTATAAAAACAGTGTGAAGAAATAAATAGGTAAGTTGTTTGAGACAAACTACGTGACTTATGTGTAGCATTGAGAATGATTTAGGGAAACTATTATATTATATAGCAATAAATAAAACGTTACGTATCTTTTTATTTAGTTAACGAGAACCATGTTCTAGTTTCCGTAATGAAAACGCTAAAGACCTACAGTACTTCAGTACATGTGATATAGATCTATTTAGCATATTTAAAAAAGTACATTATATGAAGTTAAGGAGTCTTTTGAGTCATTAAAAAGTGACTTTTTAGGATTGGCACCCTGAATGACTTTTACTTTCTCCGTTTTGGCTTGGTATATTGCCAGTGTCGTTTGTAACACAGACATTCCAAATATTGAAAAAAGAATGAAACAGGTGCCAGTATAATCTTATTATTAATCGACTTCAAAAAAAGGAGGAGGTTTTCAATTCGACTGTTTTTTTTTTGTATGTATGATACGCAATAACTTCGGTATTTGTGAACCGATTTTCATGATTCTTTTAAAGTCACAGTTTATCTCAAAAATTTATGAACACGATATATCTGCAGTGTGTATGATAAATTATAATAGATACAATAAAAAGGTAAAAGCTAAGACAGTCATAAAATAGGACTCGATGAGCCCAATGAAACTTATTATGTTTCCTAAACGTACAAAGGTATTGGCATATATACACAAGTTCCTTATTAACGACATCCTTTTAGGGGAATACTAAAAAAAACTATTTTTACTATGTTTTTGCAACCCTTCTGAAATCTCAAAAAAAACAAGGTTGTGTCGAGGTCTTGTATCGAGTTTAGATAGTTTTTTTTTTGGGGGTTTTTTGGTTTCTGTAGTAAAATAGATTGGTTTCATTTCCTGACATGACCTCAAAACTTTGTAAGCTATAAATTAGGACCTCATGCACATATTTATTTAGCTCCTATGTTGGATCATCCTGCTACTAGGGATAGGCATGGTAAGAAGACATCGGTGTGGGTGTGGATACAGACATCGAAGGGATACATTCGCGAATGCAATCTACCGAGATTATAGTTGCACTTTATGCACATTTATATAAAATCGAGACTTGTTGTTTTATACCATTACGAAATAAGGTCTATGTTTTACACTAGTTTATGGAATATATTCAAATAGTTTTTAAAATGAAGAATTTCCCTTACAACAAGTATCAACTTTCGTAAACACGTACATCGAACACACACTATTCAAATATCATCTAAGCACCAGTAACACGACAACATAAATTTTACACAACATTAAATGCTATGACTTACCAAACAGCAGTCCTATTATAACGATTCCAATCACACCCATTATTATCATCATCTGTAACGTTTACATTCATTTATTTATTTATTGTCTCTAAAAAAAAATTGCTACTTATAGAGAAGAAACTGAAATCCTGTAAAAATGTTTTTCACCTCACTAGCACGCAAAGATTTTATTTCTCATTACAAATCTGTGCGCAAACGAGTTTTTGAAATTCGAACATTTTCTTTCGATGAAAAAAAAACATAATGACACGTTGAACTACGCGATTTGTCGTAGGTACATTATTATGTATATTCTATAATAATAATAAGCACCAGGATTCTTCGACTACCCATTTACAGCCTTTGGAGTCGAAACCCTTGGCCCGTGGGGTCCCAGTGCCCTTCATCTGTACAAAATTATATCGAAAAAAAAAATATACTGTCTGGGAAACCCAAGGGCCGGCTATTACCTTGCCCAACGCATAGCATAGCAATACAAAGGGGGAATGCTGCCAGCTTCTTGGGCACCTTGACGCGGGGACCCAATTTTATTCATATAGTTTAAAAATCCTAGTTTTACTTTCTAGTAGTTAAGCTCTTATTGTCTTTTTTACCTTACTTGTATATTTTATTACCTAGCTTTTAATACTTTTATTCTTAATATTGTTGATATTAAATTGACAACGATAACTAATTTTTGATGTATAAATTAATAAAACTGATTTCTTTTCGTTCACCTGTTTTTCTTTTATCTACCATTTTCCTCACTATAGTGAGGTAAAATGTTGTGTGTTTCGCTCGGCAGCAAAGTTGTTTTACATGTCGTGGCTTGAAATCCTCGCTACGCTCAAGATTCTATTTTTGAACTACTCGCTTCACTCATGGTTCAATCTTAGGATCGTATTCCAGAACTGTACTCAATGCTCAAGTCAGGATTTGAGCAGACTTGAGTATGATTTCAAGCACTGGAAATACGACCCTAATGGCAAGGAATTGAGTATGATTTCTAGTGCTTTGAATCATGCTCAAGTCCTGACTTGAGCATTAAGTAGAGTTCTAGAATATGACCCTTAGAATCCTTCGCTTGCTCTGGTTTCAATACAAGAACTCGCAAGAACAACTTTGCAGCGTTGCATTACAAATAACTATTGTATCATGACGTTTCTAGTGTCATTGTAACATGGTTCATGTCTCTTCTGTATAAGGCGCGACAATTTTAACCTTAATCTTATAGAAATACAAAAGTTTACCTTAAGATTTTGTAGCCAGAACTTGTTCTTTAAACTCTTTGCTTGTTGCTCGAACTGCGATGCCCCTTGTTGCAGTGCATCTGTAAGGAATAATGAAACAATATTCAGGCTAAATATTAAGAGAAAACTTTTCAATAATATTTCCAAATATTGTATAATGTAGATTTTAGGACAGGTTTCTAACCACGTTATAATTTCTTTTTGTTTTTCCGATATTACGGAACGGTTATTTTTCTTTTTTTTTTCTTAATGAATGGCTTGTGAGACTACAGTCTCAATTTCATAAACGTTATGGAGGGTGTGTTAGAATTTTGTTCGGTGACTCAGAGGGAGAATCGAAGGGATTTTTGCATAAATTGATTCCTAGAACAAAAGAGACGGCATGACAGAATGGTTACACGCTTCATGGTCACGGGTTAACGCCACAAGTAATGAGATGAGGGTAGTCGTCAACAGCGAAAGAGGGTAGAGATATGTCTGTTCTTAAAGCTGTCATCTGCCGCTGGCCAGTCAACCCGTGACCATGGAGCATGTAACAATTCCGAAATATCAGGAAAATAAAAAGAAATCATATCGTGGTAAGAAATCTGTAATTAGTGCTAATCGTTTATTGTATAATATTTTATACCTGCTCTGTCATCCAGTTCCGAGAGTTTCACGTCTCTATCAATGACTTTCTCAACGTTTGCCTTCATAATATCAACCACCTGAAAGTCGTCCAAACAATATTATCTTTACTAAATATACGAGACGTTATACGAGAGCCAAATCGTTGCTAAGAAATCATTTGCTTTTAGAGGAGTAGATGTGGATTCATTTTAGGGTAAAAGAAAGTAGCATTATTTTATTAAATGTTATTAAAAAATTTTAAAACCGTTAAATAAACTTATTTTTATTTATTTTCAAACTTATTTTCTCGTAGTAGCAGTAAAGCTCCTTATGAAAGATCATCCAGGAAAGCTGCCACCTTACCTATTTCTGCCGCCAGTAGTGTGACCATTGCTGCGTTCGGGTTTTGAAGGGTGAGGGTGCAGATGAAATGGCACATGGGATTTGTCAATTTATGTCTCAAGGTGACGGGTGCTCCTCCGATCTTTGTGATTTAAAGCTGATTTAAAGGCGGGATTAAAAGAAAATACAGAATATTGTAATGTTAACCTCTTCAACTTGCGCCTGTTGTTGCTGCAATCGTCTCTGAGCCGCAATCTGCTGCATTGTGCGCGGCCCTCCGATGATTTCCCCATCGGGCCCCACCTCCGGCTCCTGGGGCTGCATTCCGGGCGGAGGACCACCAGTACCTTCAGCCGCCCTAACAATATTATGACCTATTATATTGAGAAGAATATACCCAGTATTCTCTAAAAGATTAAAATAAATTACAAGTGCTACTGAAACCACTACGGATCAGATGAGATATTAACAGAAAGTTTCGCTGAGCACCATTCAGTCTGTAGTTTAGACATTATTTAGTTTTGAAATTAAATATCTGAACTGAAGATGGTATGAAAATTACTTTATATTATCCTTTCACCACGATGGCAAGCATTGTAATGTGCCATCGACACTATATGTAGAACAGAATAGAATAGAATCAAATATTTCATATTATCAATGTCACAATATTACAATTAAAAATATAATGTCAAGGGATAATAATGAACGTCACCAACGCAAACAATAATAATGAATATAAAATAAAGTAGTATAACTACTGCTTGTTTAATTACAAAAAAGACAATTAAAACAAAATTACAATTATTTCAAAAGAAACTCATCAACACTGAAGAATTCATTATCCAATATAAGGAGTTTTAGTCGGGTATTAAACGTTTCGTCGTTTGTAACACTTTTCAGGTTTGTGCGTAGATGTTCGTAGAATCGGGGACCTATTACCCGCGGATTTCTCATTGCGAGTTCGATACGCACCGTGGGCAATGGATTTTAGTTTTCCCGCGTTTCGCAACTCTCGGCCTCCGCCTGCACGTCGCTCATAAGTGCTCAAGTTTTGACGCGCATAAACTATTATCATAAATGTATTATGAGTACGTCGTCATTATATGGTATTTTTTTTAAAGGTTTCTGCAGGACTGATCTTATTTTATACCTACTATAGTTCTTAGTGCACGTTTTTGAAGAATAAAAAAAAACCCTATTCGACTCAGTTGAGTTACCCCACAGTGTGATGCCGTATACGAACAAGTGTTTTCTCATTAAGGGCTCAAAAGGATTTAGATTCCGAAGTCGTTAACCGGCATGATACGAGTAACTATTTAAAAAATATAACTAAAATGAACTGCGCAAAGTTTAAAATTCACGATAAAGCTTTACTACCACGAACAAATTATTGTCTTATAAGGATTGCAATAGTGTCGAGTGGATAAAATATGAAACGTAAACTTTTAATTCGTGTAGTTATTTATTGCAATTCAAATTACAAGACTTAAGTGTTAAATTATCTCTTGAGCTATTATATTTTTGGTCATATGCTATTTTTGTTCACATACTTTCGCACAGCTTTTAGTTTTAATTATTTGATGCAACCGTTCTAGTATATTTCATCGTCAACCCTTTTACACTTCCCATTGCTCTTCTCTCAGACGAGGGTTTAGGCCATAGTTCGCCACCCTGGCCCAATGCGGGTTGTGAACCTTCTTCGACGTACATACCTGCACTGCAGGTATCCTCACGATGTTTTTCTTCATCGAAAAGCTCATGATAAATTTCAAATTCAATTTCGCACATAATTCCGAGAAACTCAGAGATGCGAGCCCGAATTCGAATCCACGACCCTCTGCTTGAGAGGTAGTAGGTCAAACCATTAGGCTACCACGGCTTCTTCTAGTATATGGTTTATAACAGTCGAAATATACTAATTATTTTAGTGAAATGCACCGAATTCATAAGCTAATAATAATTTAAAATCTCAATTACTTAATATTAAATGTTGTTTCATGTTTTTGTAATGGCATTGGAAGATAATATTGCGAAGATAGGCCGCAGGACTAGGTTTACTAGGAATTGTTAAGTTACAGTTTCTCTTATACAATTAGGTACAATTTCTCTTACTCTGCCACGTGGGGAGACCCACGTGGCTGAGTAAGAGAAATTGTATTGGCAGTATCAACATAAACGTAACTTAATCATGAAACTTTACTATTATTGGTGTATTGGTGCACTCTACACTATTAATATTAAAGAGTTTTAAAACTCTTTAATACTATAGAGTGCACAGAAGATGCAGAGTCAAAGTCAAAGTCAAATATTGTTTATTTCTTAGGTAATCAAATTACATTTGAAATCGTCTTACTAATTAAACTCTACTGCTCATTCATTCAACAGATTGCCCTGAGAAAAATGAGTAAGAAACTCTAGAGGTTGCTCTTTCTAAATATACATTAGAATACGTTTATCATCACAATATTTAATTTAAACATCTTAGATCGAGAATACCTGAAAGAGCTAAACGGGTCACTACCACGGATTTTTGTCGTCCAAGTACGCAGAAGTTGTATAATATAATTTAAATTTAAATTTAAGTTTAAATAACCTTTATTAAAACGTTTTTGTTTTACAATCATTTTAAACCCCGTAAATGGCAAATTTTGAACATCAATCAGGATCTTATTACAGAAGCGTATACATTGCCCCTTAAATGAATTTGAGACTTTATGAAGACGAGTGTCAAAAACAGCTAGTTCATTTTTATTCCTCGTATCAATGTTATGTCTGTCACTATTTTTATAAAAAAGTTAATATTTTTGTTATTATAACATTTTCATAAATGTACTGTGACGCTAGTGTAAGAATGTGAATCTCTTTAAACTTATCTCTTATAGAGTTGTAGTGGTATTGTTATTATGTACCGCGTAATCGTAAAACATCGTAATATCGTAATACCACATTGGAACGAGTAAAGAAATAGCGCCGAACTCTACTTGTACTTCGACTGCATTTTGGACTTGTTTTTTGACAAGCATTGTCGTAATGAGGTGCTCTATTGTTAATCCCTAGTCCAGCGCCTGCCCTGGCAGTATGGGTAAAACTAGTTAAAGACCAGAGGTAAACTTGACTGGCTACTTTAAGATCATAGAAGGGTAGGATATTACTGATATCGAATTCATTTTGTCAATATGTCATTGTTTATGGCGTGGGTCATATTGCAGGTTGTCAGCCTGTATAATAAGTGACCGTTGTTATCTTTCATTAACTTTTCAAAGTTAGAGTAATTTATATCTTAAACAGAGCAGATGATAAAAATGAAAATAACAAAACAACTGTTTGTCGGTTGGAAAATTGAATCAACTCTGAACTCTCTTGTTTATTTCCAATGATAGCATTTTACTGGAATTCGTTCGGACGCCTGACGTACAGCGAACGAAGCAATCTAAATATTTGAAAAGAATAAATAATAGCTTGTGACTTTTACCGTCCAGTTGGAAAACGCAATATATTTTGTGCACCGTTTTCGAGAAGTATTCAAAATATTCTTTTTTTCCAATGTTGTTAAATTTTTAACAGAAATATTTTTGTCGGAATTTTTGTTTCTTTGTTTCTTCTTATCGGTTTGCTTAAAAAATGAAAAATATTCGAGTTCTCATTTGTGTGGATTTTTAAAATGTACGTACTTTAAAATGTTGTTCAGGATATGCATTTTTAAAATGCAAATGAAATCCAGACTGCTACGTTAAATTTTGTACTATGCTAAGAGATCATTCTCCCACTGCACACTTATAATAGCAACGACAACTATTAACTCGAATCTATAGGCATCTATGTAGGTTCATTTAATATTGCTGTGTAGCTAATGGTTGCAATGTGAAAAAGTTTAATGCTATGGAAAATAATAATGACGGGGAATAGTCCAAGTGGGTCGATAGGGAGTTGGAATCTAGCCAGATGACGTCAACGTTCAATGTAGGGGGTGGTGATATTACCTGCGAATAGCATGTTGAAGCCGTATCTATGTGCATTGTAATCATAAACAAAAAAGACTATTTAAAAAAAAGAGACTATTTAATTATAATATATATATAAGGAATGGATTATACATTAATATTATATGAAAGATATTAGTTATAAAAAAGGGACTGTAATTGAAAGTGGAATCGCAATGAAAAAGTTAAATTAATATTATTATGTATTAATTAATTTTACAGTAAAACTATATTACTGCTCGTATATTGAACGACGAATATACGTTTATTTCGTAGTTGCCTAATAATGTTTTTGTTAATATTAAAATAAGTGTTAATTACTTGCAAAACATTTTTTCTAATTATTTAACTTCGCAATGCTGTACTTGATTCGCTAGGATATTTAACTTTTCTATGTATAATTTTAAAATAATCCTCAAACATCACATTTAAATATATTATAGCGCTTAGTAAATACAAAGGTAAGATTTTTTTTAAATAAAAAAGTAAACGGTCGCGGAAAGATAAATACACTTACATTTCTTCTTTCCGTCACACAGTTACGAATTATGATACACTTTTTTTTCCAAGTGTTTTGGGGCTTCTATTTGAGCGAAGCCCACTGCGTCAAAATACGAATGAAACCGGCCGCAGTAAGCTCTCGAACACAAAGCTTGGACCGAACTTTTGCGGTAGCTTTCCCTCTTTGTTTCAGAAAAGTGGAGGCTTCGAAGCAAATTGTTTTCAGCGTGTTTGAAATTCGTTTTGATAAAATGTAACATATTTAGAATCGAACGTATGAAATGTAAAATGTAGCATTTTATTTGCTATGCGTTATTATAATATCAAGATGTTACTCTTCACTGGAGAACCGTTGTAGGTTTTTGAATATGAATGCAATTATTTTTATTATATTTATATTAAAAATGGCGCATAAGTTACATAAATTATGTATAACATATAAATAATCACATTATTTAATATCTTGTAAATAAATAGCTTGGGATAAAGTCGAATAGAAAGATAATTATTTATGTAGCATTTTATAATATTGTTTGTCTATAACAGAATAGTTCCATACCTGAGAAGCATTATACTTTTAAGTGTTAATTTTGTAATTTTACAGGGAACGAGATTTTGTGTCGAAATGCAACATGGACAACATTTAGAGTGGCTTAAAATAAAACTTACTGAGTTGTAATAACATTTCGAGCTAACCTAATTGTCGTATAAACTGCTTTTCGACACAAAAGAAAAAAATTGCTTGCCTCGTAAAATTACAAAAATGGCTTTATTTAAAATTTTATAAAATTTAAAAATTCAAACTTAATTTAAAAAAATTTGGTTGCTGTTTAGATAACGACCAAGACTAGACTAGATTGTAATGCAATCAAATGTAAAATGGGCTTATACATAACCATTAAAAATACATAAATCCCCTTAAAATAGAATAAGAAATCCTGTCACCAAACTATTATTGCGAGCCTATTCTGTCCCACGGCTCACCCCCTCTTTTTCCACTGATCTCGATATTGGCCAAAAAAGAAATTTGGTACTTAATAGGATTGGCACAAAAAATGTTGACTGTTCATACGACATTTATAGATTAACTCAAACAATTTTATAGAGTTACAAAAATAAATTTTTAGGATTAGTGCTACAAAATAAACCTTAACAGTTTGGTTTAATAAAAAGGATGTGTAAATAATCAATTACCAGTGAATTACTTTTATTAACAAGAAAGTTTAAGATGTTGGTAACTTGTGTGCTCGCCATTACTGCGGAGAGAGAGCATGCGCGAGTAGCACTGCGTGTATATGCCGCCCCCATCGATTTACCGACACCTTCACCCGTCGCCCCCACTCGTGGGGTACCACTAGTGGGGGCGACGTCTGGTTACCGCTTATCGACATATTAATGGATGCACAATGCATCCATTGATTGCCTGTACTTAATTGCATTAAGAGTTTTCTTCGACTGAATGGCTTTTATAAAATATTAAATGTAATTTTGTTTTAAATTCTATGTTCTTATTGCGGGGTGTGTGGCCTGTTAGTAAAGAAGAAACAATACATTAAATGAAAAAGAGATAATATTCAACATTTGTAAAGTAAGGGTCTTAATTGGTTGTGATTTATTGAAAATTCATAACGCATTTTTGTCAGTATTTAGAGAGGCTTGTTTGAGTTACCTCGTCGCATGTAGCGACTCGTACGCCGGCGCTTGGTGCGCTACGTGTACGCAATAAAACAATAATGTGCTGAAAGTTTAGTATAGATCTTGCCTCAATTTGTATTTTATTCGATTATCATAATATAAATCTTTTCCGAAGAAAGACTAATCTTATTAGACTAACACACATTTGTATTTCTAAACCTTTGTATGTTTTAATACTTATAGAAAGTAATAATCTACTGATCTGTTTCTTCATCCCACTCTGTTTATTTTGAGAGCTCCTTTAAATATGTACAGGTAGTAAATAATAAGTTCTGACATCAGAATGTGGTGTATTATTGTTTCGAAAAACGTTCAGAGATTATATGTATAAATTCTTGTGAAAATACATAAATAACGAATAATAACGTAAACACCATGATCCATACTGAATGGCTTAAATCGGAAATAACATTTTCCCACAGGTGGTTAAACAAATGTACGATCCACTCTAGTCTTTTGTATGATAAATACATTAAATATAAATTTTATAAGGCCATTAAAATTAGGGCGGTCGGGCCGCGAGCAAATTGTTGTGAGCGTCGGCGCGCGCGCTCAAAGAACGCCGACTAATCAATTGCCTCTAGAGCGGCCCGCACTGACTTTCTTCAGCCTTGTCCAAGTCAAACGTCGTATCCCGACTATCGATTCCAGATTTATTTTCTTTAACAAATATGAAATATGATCGATTTTTACAGGTAGCACTGTCTTTGTATTCTGTATTATGTAGTCATGTAGAATTTACGGTAATTATTTACCACTTATATATGCAAATATGTTTCGAAAAAGTTAAGATAAGAAAGTTATGCGTGTTTGACATAATACCACGACACTGGAGTCGAACGCCGGCTCTTCATTTATTTTATTAGCAGGACTCCGCGAGGCATCGTAACTCACTCGTCTAATACATTTATTTATTTCAGCTGTACCTTTAATTACGTGAACTTAGAAGTAACGAGCGTCAATCCGTGGGACTATCCGAGATAAATGCGTCATCCGTGTATTTCATGTAAACATAACAATTTAATACATTTAATTGCAAATAAAAGCTTAGATACTTATTTTTGCAAATTTCGTAGTTTTACTTTTTTAGTATAGTTGGTTTTCGTAAGTCGTACCAATGAATGAAGATTATGGAACTAACCTTGAAACATCAACTTTTTGTAAAACAAACAAGACCGAAGTAGCAGCTGTCTGCACCGACATTCTATGATCAATTAGCTCACTTAACCTGCAACTAGGCGTGGTAAACAGATACTAGCTTTGTCCACCGAGTTAGCGGGCCCTGGCTAAGTGCTACCCGATCCTTGTTAACTTTTTGGGTTAACAAGGCGACTGTGGTATTTACGCGATCTGTTATTGGTTACCGCAGCTAGCGCCCAGTGATGCCATTTGGTACAATACGTAAGATCTTCGACTTGTACGGGAATAAAAGTAAAATAAACAAAATCAGCAAATTTTTTTAACACACTTATCAAAGAATTTTGCATTAATTAGTTAGCTTCAATTAGTAAAGTAAATTAGTAAATTACTTTACAATAAACTACTTATTAGCTGCATTTAAAAAGCATAAAACTTATTGCAAAAAAAATATAAACCATTAAGTATATTTTAATAAATTCGTAACACTCGTGAAAATAAATATGCGGAACTTAAACGAAAAGCCCAAATCAATTGTTTAGAAATAAACAACTTTAGTTGTCTTCGTCAGTATTCAAATACTTGTAGACGGCCTTTAGGAAGTTTACTTCCCATTACAACTGATTGCGTCCGCAAATAATTTCCTATAAAAAACCTCAAACATCAGCTACACGATTAAGATAACCATTAACTTGTAGAATTAGCGTCAGCTGAAAACGTGGTAAAAGTATCTTAGTGTAATTTTCGTATAATGGACGGTTGCCTGTCTAGCATAAGCAGGTTACATATTACAAATATAATGTGTTACATTTTTGTGGTAACCTCCTACTTGACACGCAAATATTTATAAATGTGAAGCAGCACGAGTCATGGACTATTTGTGTTAATTTACCAAACACCACAAAATATACAGTCAGATGACATCTTATTGTTGTCATCCTTCACATGAAATACATCATAAGACGAAATGCGACAATTTTTCTACAGGTAAATAGATCATTTAACATATTATTGTTAAGACTGGTGTCACCTTAAAGCGTGTGCAAGTCAAAATTCGGCTTTTCCTCTAGTCACATTATCACTTATCCGGTAATAGGAACGGCGGGTGCGCACGCGCGTCTTCTGCGCGCTCTCCTTTGGACATACACCGAACTGGAAATTGTACCAGAACTCGGAATTCAAACAAACTCTGCTCCGTTGTAAAAGGTATGATCCACTTTACTTCTTTTTGAGTTGGTTGGTTGAAGCAGCTGTTAGACCACGCAGTATTTTGAAACTATACTTAATTATTATAGCTACAGAACATTGGATTCCTGATTGTTTTATCTCTATATTTATCTATGTGTATTCAGGTTTATATTTTTATGTACACTCAGTCATGCATTATGCTATAGAAAGTATAATATTTTTAATAGCAAGTTTGAAATCTATATAAATATTCCGGTACAATTTCCAACAAAGAATTTTAAATGTGGCGCACGAAATATATCGTAAAATTAAAAATCCATCAAATTCCCTTACTTACCTGATTAAAATAAATTCATTGGAAGTTTCTGGTCCGAACTTTTACGACATAACTATAAAACAGTCGCTTTGGTTGAGGATGAATTCAAGTCGATTTGGTGTCACGATTAGTCAAAAATAAGTCATATATCAACATTGTAATGATTATAAGAATAATAACAAAGAACACTTTCGAACAATATAACAGGATTCCTGCTCTATACAAATCTTTCTCAAAGTGAGACTCGCGCAAGTTTATCGCAAAGACTTCAAACACAATCACGACGACTTCTATATCTTAACAACCAGCCGTAAAGTCAATAGCGATGCTCAATAACAAATTAATCGCACGAGTAGTGGGCAAATCGGCGCACAATTTAGGCGACGCGATAGTCTGCCCGACCGACAATATGTCATGGCCCGGACGATCGTTAGTTGTGAACTCTCTGGGAGGTCCATGGATGTTTAATGCAGTTTGCAGTTATTGGGAAATAATTTTAAATCTTTCCATAACAAATGTTAAAGTTTCAATTATTTTGAAAGTGTCATTAATTAATTACTCCACTTTTGATTTAAATTATTTCAACCGTTACTCAATTAACATCGACGTTTAAAAGGTTTAATTAAGCTATAATTAATTATGTCAATACTCTAATTGTTCCTATAAGTAGAAACTATTCTTACTGAATTGTCAATCACTTAGAGGAACTACTTACTACGCAATATACAAATATACTGGCAGAATGCACTATCACAATTTTCCCTCCAATTTGCCATTTAAGGCTTTCAATTAACTGCTCAAAAGTGATCTATCCAAACAATGAGTGGCTCCCTTCAACATGCCGTTAACGCACGGTGCGAGCGATATCGGCCAGGTTATTAATTGGCCATTGTATCGCGTCGTGTAATGGAACCAGCGCGCGCGCTTTGGTATTATCTTTATGAAGACGCATGAACAAGCTATTGCGCGTTACTACGTAGCAGCTAGTCGATAATAGGGATCACGTTGCATTTGTAAAGTGAAAGCAAAAACTTAAAAGTGTTTAATTAAAAGCATACATTGGACTGATTATGTCCTTAAGCTTTTTGTATTTTTTTTAAATAGGTAGTAGAGAACAGGCAATGTACATAATTTACAATTACTAAATAAAAATAATAAATATGTAAGCATGTTTTCATACAAAATTAAATAATAGTGAAATGATTATTAAGTAACACAGAATGTTATTATTGGTATCATGATTGTATTATTTTGCAGTCTTTAGGTTAAATAATAAATTAATTAAAAATAAGGAATTCTTTTTTCAATTTATTTGTGTCAACAAACAACAGCACACACAATTAAAACATAACTAATTATGATTTTTTTTACAGTAAATATGTAATGATGGTGTCACCAACACCGTTAATCAGTAATTACTACAAAAAACTGAGAATTAGTTAATAATTAATTTAGAAATGCATCACATTTCAATAATAAATAACTAAAGTACAAAAAATATACAGAAATACTTCGAAAGTACAATATTTTCTTCTCGAGAACTAGTAGTAGTATTCAGATTTATAAAATCTGCTGTCACATGAACCACTTTAGATGCGATTGTCAAAGAAGCCCTAGTATACAACAATGTCCGCGCTGCTCGTCGTCCTTCTGTTGCGAGCAGAGCCTATAAGATGAAGCTACAACATCGGCTGCGGGATATTGAGTTTGATAGGTTTAGAATTAGCGTAGTTGTATTTGGATATATGTGTAACAAAACCGACAAAATTGTATTAGGCCTGAAATACACTACAGCGTTTTATTGCTCCACGCCATGTACCCTTCGTATCATGATAGTACTTCTACTTTAAAACCACTCTTAAAAAACTCATTTTTTAAATGGTAATAATGTAAAGGGAGACGAACGCAAACAAAATACATTACAATATATTTTGAAATTCGTGGAAAATTGTGCTTGTTTACGGAACGTAATTTGACAAACCAAACACGTATTGCCAATATTGATGTTTTACATGCGCAAACTAGATTCTACGTAACATATTTGTTTAAATAATTCAGGGAATGTGTAACAGTGATGTACTCGTATGTGATTTCGCACAGGGCTTACCGAATATGTTTGTGTTCAGTCGCTGTAGAGTGTCATTTTAATTGTGTACTCTATAGTCAAAGAACGTAGGAATGAATAATAACTAAAATCTTTGTTAATCATTAAAAGATGCCACAAACATTAGTATGGCTCAGATTTTCTAACTAAATTGAATTTTTGTGGCTTTCCAAATAATGACACTTACGTATCATATAATTTACTTTTTTTTTCATCCTCTGAGTTACAACCACATTTGAGTAATTTGTCTATGAGTGAATGTGAATGTTCATTTAATTATACTTTTTTTTTATTATTGATTGCACAAATTTGCGAATGGATTGTACAGCGGTTTTCATGGTGTCACCATCTCTAACGTCTCTTATTCAATCCCCGGCCTTTTGTATATAGTCTCGGGTCTGAGTGTTTGTAGTACCGTCGTTGTTTTCGATTTCCATAACACAAGTTTTTAGTTACTTACTTTGGGATTAGAGCAACATATGTGATGTTGTTCTAAAATTTATTTGTTTATAAAATAATAATATGTGGGTGAAACATTGGAAAGTCTATTTTTACAGTACCAAGTTATAGAGTTATCTTGCATTTATAAATATTTTTACGAGTTTACCAAATTTTCACATCACTGTTTTCGTTAGTAAAATATATGTAGGGAACTGTACTTACCTACGCCATTGCAATAGGTAGGAATATTTTGAAATGAAATACCTGGACTTAGTAATTTAATTAAAAACAAAAATTACACTACAAGTCCTATCTAGTGCCGTCGTCACCCAGTCGCTCGGCAGCTGCTACTTCGTATTTGCATACATCCATTTTGACATGTCGGTATTCTGCAAACATAATAATGAACCGGCAAGAGTTACATTTTGTCATTAACATCATCATTATCAGCCTAAGCAAATAGCTGAACATGTCTCTTGCAAGTTGTACCACAATGTTCGTCCTTGTGTCGATAGTTCTAGCTGGGTGCATCCAAGCGTATCACTGCTGTTAATGTAGAAAAAAAATTAAATCTATAGACGTGCACAATAAAAGCGACACGAAAAGATGCAGTCGAAAGCCGTGGTAGCCTAATAATTTGACTTACCGCCTCTCAAACAGAGACTGTGGGTTCGAATCCGGACTCGCACCTCTGATTATTCGAAAATTATGTGCGAAAATTAATTTTAAATCTACCATGAGCTTGGCGTGATGAAACTTGCACCACGAGAACATTCACAAACCTTGGAAAACATTGCCGCATTGGGCCAGGATGGCGGACGAAGAGGAGATCCGTGACCAGCAGTAGGACGTACAGATGCGTTGATGATGATGAAAAGACGCAATAGCTGTATGTAAACCACTTTACAATGTGATTTCAGGATTTTTCTTATATTCAATTCAGACTTGACATGTTACAATGGCGTCACACATCAAAGAATGTAAAAATTATACTACAATGATTAAATAATAATAAAAAATGCATGTTCTTTTTGTCCTACTTATTCTAAAAAAATTGTAAAATATTGGAATTTATCTCACACTCAATTGAAATGTGTCACGTTACAATTTCATTACTCATTTAGCCAATGTTTTGGGTTGTATAGATAAAATATTTACGTTTTTTATCATCGCAGTTGTATTCATAAAGGTCACAGACGTCGTTGAACATCCTGGTGATACCGAGGGAATCCTGCCCGCAGATCGGGACGAAGTCGTGTTGGCATTGATCCGCCATCTTGCAGAAATTGATAACCTGTCCCCAATTTAAGTTGGTTAGGACTTAGAGGGAAAGGTGCGTATTATGGTCACATCGAAAGCTCTAACGCCTAATGAAATACAATATGTATCCTGTGAACTGAAAATTTGTATGGGAAACCAAAATAAATTATTCGATATTTCGAAATCCTCTAAAACACGTACAATTTGCTTAATTGAAGTAGTATACCTATGTATGCCTATAACTCTTTATCATCTGGTTTTCCATTGTCTTTATTTATTTATACATTTCATTATTACTGTTACTACATAGTTTTATGCAATGTTGCATTTTATTAACCGATTTCAAAAAAGGAGCAGGTTCTCAATACGACTGTATGTTTTTTTTGTAAATATGTTACGCGATATCTCTTACGAATGACTTATGAACTGATTTTGATGATTCTTTTTTTGTTGGAAAGAGATCAGATGTGGTGTCATTTACATTTGAAGAAAATATTCCACCTTTAAGGGTGGTAAACTAGGGGTGAATGACTTTTGAGGTCGGTTTTTTTTAGTACTCTGTACTGAGATTATATTATGACAGATAAACTTTACAACGCGAAGACTCGCATTACGAATATCTTTCTAGACACAATGTCAACCAATTACTTATTCTTATTTATTTATTTCTGAAGATTAACTTTAGATTGGAACCGTCGACGTGTAATTGAAATAATTTCTTCGTCCTCATTAAATTTCTTTAAAAAAGGAACTTATTTTTTTTTGATGAAAAGCACTCAGAAGTTTGACCACTACTTTACCTGATGTTAAACAACCATGTGGTCGATTGTTCCGCATTCGGATAGCCCTATATTGTAGCATTTGGGAAGCATAGATTTCAGTAGTGTATCCCATAGAAATGATGAAACAAAGTGCTTCATGCAAATGGGTGCCAAGTCAAAGTATTCCGGACTTCTAGTAAACCGAAAGAAGACCGGTGAGGATGGAATCAAATTATAAAATTCTACTAACTGCTCTAATATTTCGCTCAAAAGTCAATATTAATGCTAGAATTTCAAGGGTTTGCCATGTACCTAAATACCCAGCTAATAAAAATCGATGTTGTTCAACATTCTATGAATGTGTTATGATAAACATATTTTGAAAATTTCTAATATTTTGTTATAATGCTGAAGATTCCGTGCATTACTGCATTCAATGGTAAATAATATCTTACCGGCTCTAGGGGGAAGAAGTAATCTTCAGCTTCTATTTCAACGTGTGACCATACTTCTGTTGCAAGCCCGATAACAATAAGACCTGAAAAATTACATGAAAAAACATTTCAGGAAAAAAGACCTTAACGCCGAAAATCTATACATTACACAGCGTTACATTTCTCCACTAAAATTTTTATTTCAAATCGTTTCCACTTTGCGACTGCAGACACAACAGTTGAAAATATTAGCATGATCCCTGCTGAAGAATGTTTTCAGGTAATTTAACTTTAGACGGATGTTGATATACATATCGCAACAGCCATGCTACGAGGACAGTATGTCATAAGCAAAAACTTACTGGTGTATACCCGTCTGAATATCATAGTGACGGGCGGTAGATCCAACATGTAGAAACAGACTAGTTTACGACTTCACCATCCTTGTTTACTTTGCAAAATCAAAACTTTATTCAACTCGAAGGAAATTTAGTTTAGCGTACAAGTACTACGAAAACTATCTGGTGCAGTAAACCACAAGCAGCGGTAGTCAACTTCATGGATATTAAATAATTCGATCTTTTGTTGCCATGCTTTATGATTCTAAAATTCTAGAGATACTAGATGTATAGAGGTATCCAATTATTATACTTCAGAATATTAAAGTATCTACGTCGCTAACTTTAGCCAATTGTCCCAATGACGACAGGTTTCTAAAGCAAACTAAACCTTCTTATTGATAGAGTAAGTAACATGTGAAAGTACTAGACGATATGTAACTGTAACTCAAATATACTTCTAAACGTTATGTTGTGAACTCCTGATGTTTGGCAAAATTATACCACATGGGAATAAACACTACGCTAATGATGTAACAACTATACTATCAAAATGTATAAGACCTCGTAAATACTACGGCGTCATGTCGCGGCGACTGCTCTTTTGTTGTAAGAAAATATATTATTTGTCAAAATATCAAATATATCTTAATTATAGGGAGTGTTCACCAGAAAAAATTTAAAAAAAAATCTAAAAATTATGTGGATAGTTTAAAAGAAAACTAAAAGTGTTGAAATATGTGTTTGCATTTTGATTTTAATCACCTGCGTCCACTTTTTATACTGTTTTCTCTTTTTAGGTGCGTGGATTTTCACTTTTGTTATTCCGATATGTAGTCATATTCCTGATAATCTACCGACTCCAGAGGTACGCGTGTACATTTATTCTTTCAGACATATTTAAAAAAACTGTGTTTAAAAAATAAACTAAGTAGAACCGATGGTTCGGTTTCAGCGGATCAGCTACCTTGCTCCATACATAAGAGTATTACAGACTGCCAGAACTTTGAGTAGTCTGCCGAGGGACACAACTTTATCTATTTATATAAAACCTTTTTATGTTTTCTATGTACTATTCCTTTCTTTGGGTTTTTGGAAGTTGGTTGGCCTTATGATAGCGAAATTGACCAATCAATAATAATAGAATAATATTGATTGTATCGTTAAATTAATCATCCTGTTTATTGTTTCAGAATAAAATAGATCAGTATTGTTACCTTGCAGAAACGTGTGTCCACGACACGGTACCAATTTGTGGAAAGATGGGCGAACAATCTAGAACTTTTCTGGACTTGTGCGACCTTTTAGAATTCGCATGCGATACTTCTAATGGTGAGAAAACGTTGTAGCTTTTAAAATTGTTTTATATATGAACATTGACTTACAAATAAATGGACGACGGGTCTAATACAAAAAACACGAAAAAAATGTCCCAAGTCAACCTATTTAAACGTAGTGACATGTCAAGGAATATGAAAAAGCTAAAACGTTGAATTCAAATTGTAATGTCATCGCAGTACTGTCTAATTTTGCTTGCTTCGCTGTCAGTCGAACAAATGAAGACTAGAGCGTGAATGACGCTCTGTATACGATTTTAACGCCCTATAAGTTCGGACACTTTTTAGCGCGGACCCGACGTCCATATAATTGTAAGTCAATGTATATGAATATAATTTTATAGCACTAACATATAGTACGCCATTAAAATGCTATTTTGTCTAAGAGTCTCGAACACAATTAAGTTGTTAATTGTGTCAGTTTTGTGTCACATATATGAGAACAGACTAGGGTTTTAAAAACCAATCTGTGCTTTATGAATGGATGCGTGACAAAAATATTGTGACACATTATTTTTAACCAGTTAGCTAGTTTATCCAAATCTATATAAAAATTACATTATATTTTTTCAGTATACAATCACGTTGATGATCAACCCGGGTGTCCTACTATAAAATATAAGGACAAATAAATTAATATTACACATAAAGCTACAAATGTACCGCATACAAAGTATTTACGAGCTCTACAAGTGTACAAGTCTCAGACGCGTAACTTTTTACGCAAAAAAATCTTTACTTAAATATGTGTTTAAGTATCATTACGGTAATGTACTCCAGCCTGACCCGCGATTGAAGAAGGAAGATAGTTGTATAATGAATTGAGCTTGTGCAAAAGAGAGGCAAACAATCGAAGGTTGACCGGGTAACAGGTTGAGGCAGACAGAATAAGTATGGCGATTGCAGTAACGTACACCGGGCATCGGGCGCATCTTGATACGGTGGTAACGCAAAAACCAGAGAATTAATCTTGGTTTAAATAAAAGAAAACTTCACTTAGTGCAGTTAATGTAGAAGCTTGCTATGTACGCAAACAAGAATATATGTTAATATTTCGATGTAGTAATTAATAAAAATTATATAAACGAATTCATTCGTTTCAAAATCTGATTTAAATTGAAAAAAAAAATAGTCCTTACGTCCTTACCTTGCATGACAATAATGTTACATATTGTTTGTTAAACTTAACTAGTGTTTGTCAATAAAAGCATAATAGAGCAAGATTAAGAATCGTTAACAGACAATATGAGCAAAAAAATGGTATGCGATGCAAGCGGGCCTCGCGGTCCGTGAGAAAGCTACAATTTGAACAAGCCATAATTAGCGAGCGGGGCATTAAATCACGGGCACTCGCCCCCGCCCCCGCCTCCGCTCAACCCGCTCGCTCCCGCGTCCGCTCGCTTGTGGCGATTACGCGATTTGGGGTCGCCCTCCAAACAGGTGTATTGCACAGGTCAAGGACAAATTTGACTCGAAACATTTTGAACTCTATTAATAAAAACAATTGAGACGGAAAAACAATTGAGGCATTTTCTAACATAAATTATTGAAGATCAAAGAATTTTATGAAGAAAAACAATTCTTGTCTTTTACTACGTTAAAAAACAATTTAATTGCTAGTCGTAATTTTATTAATCCGGCGCCTAAGTTTTTCAGCGGTTGTTTGTAATAGAGTCAGAACATTAAACTTAACCTGAAGCTTTTCACTATCTCTCTCGCCATGTCCAGCTCGGCTGTGGGTTCATTAAACTGATGAAGCTGATTTTTCTGTCGCAATTATTTACCTATGTTTAGAGTTAGGAAAATACATATACACGTAATAGTAGGAAAAAGTACATTTTCGCCAAATTTAAATCTTTGCAAACGTCAAAGATGTGTTTTGTTTGGTAAATCGAGAGCAATCCAAAGGCTGACTCCTAATTATTTAGCAGTAAATATACAAAGGGAGATTTTCGCTCTAGTTTAGCCAGAGGTTGTCGTATTTGCTGAGCGAGCGCGAGCCCGGGCAGCGTCAGGTAAACAGGACGGACGCATCGGCCGCAATCGCGCCATCTGCACTCCACGCCCATCGACCCCGCGACCGGCGCTAGGGCTGCTCTACAAATTAATAATCTAGTTTAAAAAGTCTACATGTACTAATAGCGAATATACATCCACAAGAAATAAAGATACTTAGATGCTCAACTATTTTCGGAAATTACAATTCAGCAAACCTGCGTGCATGGTGAATCTTCGTTCCCGCGTCGACCTGAGTCGTATTGTAGCAACGGCCTCACAAACACTGCCTACATATTTTCATATACATGTGTTTATACGAGGCACATTATGATAATTATTGTATCAGTAAATTCATAAGCATGTCTACCTAATCTTGAAATCGTTATCTTGAGTCATCATATCAATGGAGGTAGATTATGTCTATGTATAGAGGAGGTCCATTTCCTCGAACCTTTGCAAACCTCGAATCGCGCTCAATCAAAAAGCTAATAGATTGTAATCAGAACACAGACGCTTTATAATCTTTCAATTTTGCTACAACAAATAAAATTATACGGTCGAAAATGTTTGGAGCTACAGCCCTGTTGTTAAAAAATGCATCCTAAGTGAGGTCTGCTTCACTCACCCTGTAACTAACGGCCTGGCTTTAAGATTAAGCGTTACAAAAATATGGTCCAGAAAAAAGAAATGAGAAAGGGTTGGGGGGAGTTGCAAGGAAATAAATATTGAGAACAATCTATTACAAGCTTGAAAATAATCTTAACACTTTAGTAAAAATTGGTAACGCAAGTCTTAATACCAAATTATAGATTATACGAAATAATTTCGGTAATGACTTGTAGAGAAAGAAGTAATTAATTTTGTGGTTCACATTCAACGTACAGAATTTAATAACAGAACCTCAGTCTAGGCGGAATGATAAATAAATGGTATAATAGGACTATTAATAGTAGGTGGTGCTTGGATTACATTGATTACAAAGTCAATTGGACCACCTGTGCAATACAATGCCTCGTAAAGTTATAGAAAGAAAGGTTCAATACGTTCGTGCCGACGGTTAGACGAATGCGTCGAAATAAAATCTGAATCTGAAGAGTACATACTGTTGAAATAAAGTTTTATATAAGGAATAAAAGAGCCTAAAATTTATACATATTAATGATCCATTATATAGACACATAATATTTCACAAAGATCTTGAAATACTGTAAAAGTTGCCTACCTCTTTAAAATTATAGTGCTATATTATGTCATCTGTGGCGTCAAATGTTGGAAATTATATCAAATGTTCGTTGGCAAACTGAACCAGCAATTTATTTCATTAGCAAACATTCCATGTAGCAGAAAGTTAAATTCAAATTTAATTTATAAATTGCTTCACCAAACTAAATTTAGCAATTTTTTACCACTTTAATTACTCGGTCCATTAAAATATTATACTAGACATTTTCGGCTCTAGTTTGCCTCAACTATGTAGGTCGAAATTCCATGGAAACGTAAATTGAGATGTAATAATTTCCACAAGCTAAGTGCGATATTAATCTTTAGTTCTACGGACTAAAGTCGTTAGCAACATGCAAAGTAATAAAACGGACTATGTTCTCATATTAGCATTACAGAAACAAAAGATAGTGACCTCGTCAACCCGAGAGGGCGAGATTAGATCTGAACGACCTATTTAGTCCAAAAAGCCGACAAATCCAGTGCACCCTGAGCGGTAC